TGAATGCTTTATGAAAATAGAGTCCTTGATTTGTGCTTGAACAATTTCTCTTAGATCAGCACAAGCTGGTCCCCATGAGGCAGAGGTTAAATATGTCCCAGATGTCCAAACTACTGTGCCACTCCATCATTTCAGACATTAACTCTTCCTCCTCCTCCTCCCCCTCCTCCCAGTAATATCCCCCGTCTTAGGGTTCTGTATTTTGCTGTAATGCCTCACAGAACTCACAGACACCCAAGGGATCATCTCATGTAGTAGTAGTGGAGGCTGGCAGGCTGGCAAGTCCTGGGTCTGGAGGATCCTCCCAATTCTCAGGGTTTGATGAACCTCAACGAGCAGATCAGATGACGGCTGCTGTCCCATATCCAGGGGTGAGAGGAGGATGAGCCAAAACACAGAGAACTGGAGCGAGAGGAGGGCGAATCTTCCCAGGAGATTCGTAGGTATACCCTCAAGGAAGCTAAGGGTGGTGATTTGAGTTATACCCTCCAGCACGGCAGGACTCAAGATACATTCCATCTGTGTTGCTCCAGCAGAAATAACCCAAGCGGATGGCTTTAACAATCAGCAGCTATTTGATTGCTCAAGGCAAATCCCACCCCAGCACTGATTGCCAGTCATTATATAGAACAACTACTACCAGCTGCCCAGCCAAGTTGACACCTGACCTTAACTACCACACCACCCCAAACAGGCATAGATAATAGGATTTACAATATATCACTGAATGGAGGACAATGGCTAGAAGGGCCACATTGGGCAATTCGGTGCAATCTGTTAATGCTTAAAAAAAAAAAAAAAAAAGCTGACTGCCATTGAGTCAATGCCACCTCATAGCAACTTTATTGGGCTTCCAAGGCTGCAAACCTTTATCTTTTTTTCTGCAGAGCAGTGAGTGGGTTCAAACCACTGACATTTTGGTTAGCAGTCAAATGCCTTAACCACTCACCGGGTATTGTTGTTATGTGCCATTGAGTCAGGCCTGACTCATAGCCACCCCTCCTTGGGTGTCCGAGGTGGTATCACTATGGAAGTAGATCGCCCAACCTTCCTTCCGAGGAGTGGCTGGTGGGTTTGAACCACCAGCCTTCTGGTTAGCAGTCAAGTGTCTTACGCACTATGCTACCAGAGCTCCCTACACTCACTACACCACCTAAATTTCAATTCTTGTAATTGCATACACAGGGAAGAACTACTGTGATCTATGAAAAGTCAGAATAAGCCTATAGAGAAAACAGGGCAAATAGCAGTGTTCAGATTCAAAAGCTTTAAGAGGTCACTGAGTTGTTAAGGATATGGCCTATAGAGTGAGATGTTTCAATCCTAGTGCCGACGCAGGAAAATAATATAAACTAAGTCTAAGTTTCTCTCATGTCAAATGTGTAGAATAATATAATACCTCCCCCATAGAGTTATTATGAAGAATGAAATGAGAGAATATATAATGATGTAATAATATAAATAATAAAGCTTATGCCTAGCACATAAGACCAGTCAATAACTGGGATTATTATCATTGCTGAGATTTCCTCCTAATGTCTGTATTACTTGGAACCTAGAAATATGGGTTTTCTGCAATAGGAATGTATTAGGAAATTGACATTTTTCTTTGGAATGATAAGAAATACAGAGCAATGTAGCAACAGCAATGTAATAGTAGTAGTAGTAAAATAATAATAATTTTACCACTTACATAAATGTGATATAGATATATAGCTTTAATTTTAAAATGTTCCCCTTTAGTATACAGACCTCTGAAATAGGTGTATTTGTGTAGTTCCTTGTCAAAGTCTGGATATGGATATATGAGAGGTGAAAGATTTGTGTCTTATAACTAATATCCACTCAGGGTATTTCTTTAGTATGGCCAGTTAATGTTTATCAAGGTTGATCTTCATTTAGTGTCAAAAGCCAATGCTATATTTTTGAGATAAGGGCTGTTGGATGCTTAAAATGGCCAATTACTAATAGTCTTCAAGTTCCCATCTGACTACATTTTCAGTGACCACATGTCTGGACTGCTTAGTTTTTATAGACACAAAGGGATGTACATATTAGAGGGGGGTACTTTATCTATACTCCTGACTTCCATGGGAAGAAATTTTTCTAAGCATACTACTGACCTTTCTGTCTCTTTATTCTTTGTCCCTGAGAGGGAGAGTGATTGATTTAACTGGCAAATGTGAGAAGGTTCAGTCCTGCCCTTCTTCCTTTTGGGAACAAGCTACTTCAGGGAACAGGCTACCTCTGCTACTTTTCCAGGGGCAGCTCCATCTATCTCTGGAGATGAAGGGCCTGTTCTGGTTCAGTGTTGCCTACATCTAGATAGATCTTCTGTCTAATTTTGGGTTATCTGTTAGGATGCCCATTTGGCTCTCACACTAAGCTATATTCTCCTTTTTGGCTTTTATAAAATATATTTTATATTTATATTCTCCTTTTTGGCTTTTTTTTTTAAAAATTCTAATATGATAGTCTTCAATTGGTTCAAAACATAGCCAAGGAAGAGGGAAGCTATTTTTCTATCATATACTCTACATATGTTGTGGGATAAAGCATTTAGCTCTACCCAGAGTAAGATGTCACTTTCTTCAAAGTGTGTGTGCCCAACCCAAACCATGGTATTTTCAATTGCTTCATATGCAAGTGAGAGATGGAATGAAAAAGGAAAACCAAAGAACAGTTGATGCCTTTGAACTGTGGGTTTTGCAAAGAATACTGAAAATACTAGGACTAACCCAGAAGAATGAACAAATCTATCTTGGAAGAAGTACATAGCTAGAATGCTCCCTAAAAACCCAAAATACCAAACTCACTACCATCGAGTTGATTCTGACTCATAGTGACTCCTTTTGGGTTTCTGAGGTAGCAAATCTTTATGGAAGTAGATTGCCAAGTCTTACTTCTGTGGAGTGGCTGGTGGGTTTGAACTGCCAACCTTCTGGTTAGCAGTCAAACACCTTAGGCACAACACCACCAGAGCTCCTAAGAATGTTCCCTACAATGAGAATAGCTAGACTTCGCCTCACCTACTTTGGTTATGTTGTCAGCAGGGACCAGTCCCTGGAGAAGGATATAATGCCTGGTAAAGCAGAGGGTCAGCAAAAAAGTGGAAGACCCTCAGTGAGATGGACTGATACAATGGCTGCAGTAATGGGCTCAAACATGGCAAGAATTGTGAGGATGGTGCTGGGCTGTTGTACATAGGTGTGCTATGAGTTAGAGCCACTGCAATGGCACTTAACAACAATAGCAACAACAAAGTAAGGTGGCCTTTGTCTTTGTTTCTGGAGAAATAATCCATGGAGTAAATGGGGCATTGTGGGAGCTCTGGTAGCGTAGTGCCTAAGGCACTTGACTGCTAACCAGAAGGCTGGTGGTTCAAACCCACCAGCCACTCCTCGGAAGGAAGATGGGGCAATCTACTTCCATAGTGATACTGCCTCGGAAACCCAAGGAGGGGTCGCTATGAGTTGGGTCCGCCTCGACGGCCCATGACAACAACAACAACAAATGGGGCATTGTGGTCTGGGACTTCCAGACCACACCTGAGGATTTATGCTGGTGAATAGGGCTAACCAGATCAGAAAAGACTCACCTAAGAGGTAGATATCAATTAGCCTCAGGAAGCATTATTTAGCCTATCATGCAGTTAAAAAAGAAACAAACAAAACCCAAAATAACCCCACTGCCATTGAGAGTTGATTCCAACTCACAGGGACCCTTCACTGGGTTTCTGAGGTGGTAAATCTTTATGGAAGTAGATCACCCTGTTTGTCCTGTCTTCTTTCTGTGGAGTGGCTGGTGGGTTTGAACCACCAACATTCTGGTTAGCAGTCAAATGCCTTAGGCACTGTGCTATTGCATTATTGGCCAATAAAAGCTAAGATCATGCAGGCTCAGAGAATTTTCTGGTTGGTGAAAGGCAGGTGATGTGTCCTCTTTGGAATGTGGAAGCTTCATGCTGGGAACCCTGCAACACCTTGCCCATGGTTTTTTTTTTATTTTTTCCTCCTTATTATGATCCTGATGTATATTCTTTTACTATAATAAATCTCTAATTGTAGTATAGTACTCTCTAGGAGTTGAGAATTCTTCCAGAGAATTATTGAACCCAAGGGAAAAGGGGGAGCTAGCAGGTAAAAGTGAGGGTGTTATGTTCACTCTCACACTTGTGGCTGGTGTCTGCCTTTTTGGCAGTCTGAAGGACTGTGTCCTTTTAACTTATGACGCTGCCCTAGCTCTGGGTGCCACATAGGCAGCTAGTGTCAGAAATGATTGAGAAGTAGGAAAGTGAGCACTGGATCAATCTCCACACTTGGGGACTGGATTCATGCTGACTCTTATCCACAAAATTACCCATGAGTATCTGAAAGTTGATATCCTTCCTGAATTGTCTATCATAAAAAGCTTTTTGCCGATGGTAAATAAAGCCTCAAAATCAAACAAAGTACACCACCAGCTTTTAGAGGCTCCTCAAGCCCCACTGTTTTTCTTCAGAGGGAATTTGAGCCTTTTCTTTGCAATTTCAGAAAGCAGTTGGAAGACAAACACACACTTAGGCTATCATTTTAAATTTTCTAAATCTGCTGCTTCTGATTCTGAACTAAAGGAAAAAAAGTTTGAATATTTTTACTGGGAAAAAGACAAACACTTCCAGTTTTCAAAGGACAATTCATTCATGAACAACTCCTGAATAATTATACCATTAGATAACTTAGATAATAGGTAAACAACTCATAAAATGTCCAAATGACATTTTTTTTTTTTTTTTTTT